CGTAAAGTTGACGTAACAAAATTTGGACTAACGTGACAATTAACGTGGAAGCTTGTATAGATTAAGTTTGAAAGAAAGGAAATGTAGAAGAAGCAATCGGGAGATCAGGACAAAATTGGGTACACAATGGAGAAGCAAACTCTTTGACAATGGAAGAAGAAGACTTTCAGGACAAAATTGGGTAGACAATCCTGGAAAACTTCCACGTCAAGTATCACATTGTTTCAGATTTTGTCATGTCAACTTTTTGTTCAAAATTTTAATGTGCTCAAAACGTATTTTTGAAACGTTTATGAAAGGTCAAGAGTAGTATTGAAATTTTCGAGAGTACAAGGGGCAAAATCCAGTAATTTAGCAAGAAAAAGAAAAAAGAAAAAAAACCTTCCAGTTAGCCACAAAATCACTGAATTCGAAAACGAAATATGTGAATGAATTCAGTTCCTTTCTGTCCAGCCTATAGCAATTTCTATAGCATTTCAGTGCCCACAACACTGAGGGCTCACAGCAATTATCAAACTTCAAACTAAAAACAGAACCCAATCCTTACTCTGAAATTCAACATTAAAGAGGACAAAGCCACTCTCTCTGATATTTGATTCAAATATCTAATAGCCAGAAAACTATAGGATGTTAATGCAAAACGTATAATTTGAATTTCAGTAAAGTTTCTCCTGTTCTACAAACATTGTCAGATCATGACAAACAATACTTGAGAAAGCTCAAATATTTTGTGAAACCATTAGAAAAGCCAACAGAAATTACAGTAACAAATTTCAGCTGAGGGAACAAAGCTTATCATTTTGAAAGAAAATTAGAGAGAGATATTCTAAGGTATCAAATATATATATATATATATATATATATATATATTTCTATAACAATGACAAAGCAAATGCAAACGGTAAAGCATTTTGCGTACCTGAACTAGCTTATGTCGTATGCCAGGTCTATCTCGGTTTCCAATCCTCATGTACCTCTGCAACTATTTCTCTGCATTAAAATCTCAAAATGTCTTTCCTTTAATGTTAGAGTCTATTACTCTAATGACCAATTCTGGAAATCGCTATAAGATGGCTGGGATGCAGTACACCGGGTATGACTCAATCTTTACATACAATATACTAGATTAACCTCCATGAATAGGTGCTCAAAATCCAATTAGATCAGTGTTGCTTGTAGTTTTTAAGAATGCCAACAGTGGTAAGTGGAATAACCAGAGAACCAAAAGACTCGGCGAAAGGACTGTCGAAGCAGATGATTTGGTGAACTGAACGGACCCGGTAAAGCTACCTGAGTTACTGCTCAGTGGGCCAGTGTTAGGTGCTGGCACACTCTTGCAAGTACCAGAAGGAGCTCCAGCCTGCAAAATGCCATCAACAATATATTCTGGGCAATGAGTATTCAAGATGAAATAAAAAAGTAAAAGGACGTCGATTTTAAAATTCACTGTGCCAAGCCATCAACAAGACTAAACATCTGAAATAATTCCTCAAATGGAAGGGTAGACAAATCTAAATTAGTTCAATTACGTGTGGACAAGATGCTGCGGCAAGCACAAAATAACTGCCGACTTAAAACTGCTTAAAACATATTTGAAACTAAACATTATTACAGGAGAACTGCCTTGCGTTGTTGAAAATAAAACATAATTTTGTCTTTCAAGAATCACTTGGCAAAATCTTTTCTGAAAATGGTTTTTATACCAGAAGCAAAAGAACCGATTTTTTATGTTTTAGATGTTCTCAAAACATAACTTTCACAGTCGTTCAAATAATAATGTCTTGAATTTATAATATTCATATAAAAGAAAAGGAAAACAGGATCACAAATATATTTTCAAATAATGTTTAGAAGTAAGCAATGAAAAACACTGTCAGCAAACATACCTAAACAGTTACTTAAATTTCAATTAAGTTGAGAGATACCAATCTTGCATTGAGACAATATCTTAACCATTCATTTGCAATTTTTTGTCCAAGAATCCAATGTACAAAAATCTAATTATTTTATTTGACCCAATAGAAGCTTTTCCTAGCAGACTATGAGGGGCAATGAATGTTTCTGAATTTGGTGACCACTAGTCATCAGTTTGTCATCAGTTTCTCTAAAATTTTAGGTCATTGAGAAGCTTACAAGAAAAATAGCCAGAAACCCATTATCTTACAAACTCAAACAAGAAACTTTCTGTTAGATAAATAAAATGCCAACTTGAAAGAAGAAACTCAAATGTCCAGACAAAATCAAGAATTTTGAGAAATAAAAAATACAAGGGTGATGCCCAAACTCCAACAAGTTCATGTAAATAAAGCTCATCATGGTCAGTGGTCACTGATTAGAAAATAGTCTACACGAACCTGGCAAGCAGCAAGTGTGCTACACCCGCATAGCGTCTGGCCATTTATCTTATCCAAAGCATCAAAGATACCTCCTCCTTCACTTCTCTGCATGGTTTTTCATCATGATATGTTACTCATTATAAATTTCAGTGAATGTTCGTTGTTATGTGTATTAAACTCAGTACCATGTAAAAGTTAACAGCCAAAAAGTTTGGCATCATATTCCCGGATGCCTTATAACATGTGGAGATCATATTAAAAAGTGGAGCTGAATGCTCCTTGCAAGTCTCAGCTTCCACTGGATATGTTGGGAAGTAATTCTGCAAGAAAAGAGACGAACTTCTTGATTTCAGTGCTCTCGATTCTCTTCGGTTTGGGCATGAACCAGGTACGACTCCAGGATCACCAGCTGAAATCCAAATGTTAAAGAGGTCATTCATCTGAGACATAATTCAAAGTCATGAATAATAAACATTGCATTCACTTCATGTAATGCTTACGCTCATTTTCCAACATGTACTTCCACTGGTAAGCGATTCCTTCCTCCGCTTCCTTCGATGCAACAGATGTGAAAACAAGAAGCCTGTGATTCTGTTGCACCATGTCGGTCACTGTTGGCCAATCTTCTCCTTTCTTTGGCATTTTGGACACAGGAAACCAGTATTTGTCCAGCCCAGCACTGGTGAATAGATTTGTCAGCCCCTTTGAGGTATGCACATAGTCCTCAATTATAATGGTCACAATTTCAGTTGGGTTCGCACTTAAGAATGCTTCCACTTCTCTTAAAGTGTTAATAGCTGGTTGCTGAGAACAATCCAAAGGTCAACAACAGTCAGAATCATGCATACAAAACCAAAATGCCAACGAACATTTTCAACATCATAAACTGGAAAAATGGAAGAAGGAAAAGGATTGATTACAAAGGCAGTGAAGTTGAAACATTGCCCCCGGAATGAATGGCAGAGCCAGATATCGTTTTCGAAATCATACATATCCAGCATCAGTCCCCTCACTCCATTCTGAAAAAAGGCAAAATTTAAAAGAAAGAAAACACAAGATCAACAATGTTTCTCAATCCTAATAAAATAATTGAAATGCAACAAACAGAGTACAAGATGAGACATCTCTAGAACAGTAGAACAAATTTACGATGGAAATTAGACAAGGCATATCTAAAATCCAATCACAAGGGGCACATGAAACACTCATTCTCTTTATCTTCTTGCACATACTCTTAACTGGTTAGTAACAGTATCCTCTTGATTATAAAACGTCAATCTCTGAACACCAGCCACAGGAGGCGCATCAACAATACTGAACGAGTTATGAGTCACCAGCCAAGTGTACTTGTTGAAGGGCAACCCATTAATCTAAATCCCAGACAAAGACGAAACCCAAATCAAAATTCACTTCAAAATCACAGCAAACAACAAAAGAACTACTCAAGAAATCTTCAAAATCACACACCACAGAAGTGGGAATGGTGGCCTGGCCTCTGGTACAGACGGGTTGATTCCTGCCAGAAGCAGGGCAATTCCCACAATAGAGACCCGACCCACAATCCGTGGCAGCCGTACAAGCTTCCAGAACCTGCAGACTCTCGAAATTAGACTCAAAGGGGGAAAAAAACAACCCCACCATCGAGATTGAGAGGAACAAAATGTTGGGAACAGAGAGCAGGAATAGGGGGAGAACCTGGCAATTTCCATTAAAGCAAGCGACGGAAAAGGGGATGAGGAATGAGAAGAGCGTCAGATGGAGGTACAAAATGGCAGAAACAGAGGGAAGTGCGCATAAACTGCTCGATAACATTGCAGAGCTCAGAGAGAGAGAGAGAGAGAGAGCAAAAGGAAGTTTTTCAATGAAGTGAAGAAAGAAAAAAAAGATGACAAATTTTGGGTATCAGACGCGGGCTTTTCTTCCTTAACTTTAATTTTCTCTTATTTTAAGGCAACTAATCACTTTTTTTTTTCTTCTGCCCCCTGCTGCAACTTTATCTTCAAACGATGTCGTTTTATACTAATCATAGAATACTTGGGAATTTATGGAGCTTGGACTTGAACCGACTATAGGTTTAAAAAGAAAACATTCGCTCCAATAATATCCATTCCGTCTTTATATTTTTAAATTGAAAATAAATTAATTAGTGTGTAATAATTTATTAATTCTTAAATTTTAGTGGGTAATAATTTAGTTAGTATATTTGAAATTTGTAACAATGTAATTCTTATCATGAAATTTTAATACAATATAAAAGAGTGGAAATTCAAACTCACGATTATATAGTTAGAGATAGGTGTCTAAATCAATTCAACTATATTTCGTGGGACTAAATTAGTAATGATATTATGATATTAATAATTTATTCATTAAGGTCACTTCCAGCTCCATAAATCAAAGGATTGAACTTAATTATAAGGTAATAATATTAGATTTTGTGATAATTTTGAATACTTTTGAGGGCTACTTTTTGAATTGAGTGCTTGTCACGTGGTAGGCCCAACTTACATTACATTTGCATGAAGCCCTCATAAATCATATCGTTGGGCATTGATGGGTACTTGCTTACATTTGTTCTTCCATTTATAGGTTCAAAGGTTTTTTTTTTTTTTTAATTTCGAGAGATTTGAATCTCCGATCTTATTCACTGCACAAATTTTATTCAACGTCTTCAATTTTAGAAAAGGTGAAAAACTCATACTCATGTGGAAAAAGGACTTAGCTTAAGCGGATTAGGTAGATCATGTAGCTTTAGTCATCGATTAAGTAGTCTAAATCAAATTCATCGAAGTAAGCCTTAGTTGATGATCCGTACATAGCAGATTCATACATAACTTCTATATTTGGGTGACCTAGCCGCACATGCAGTAACGGAGCTACAATATCTGAATCATGTGATCATGATCTATACACATTTMTTTGTATGATTCTAGGTCCAGTCCTTATCATAATAAAGTAAGTTATGATAAGTTGAGCTAAGCACATTCCTACGTATAAGTTCCAAGGTTAACTACAAATCTAGTCAAATTTGATAGAATATTATGAAATTTATAATTATAAATATGAAAAAGGACAAAACATGCCGTGGTTTTTTTTTTATTTTCATATTCATGGTATATCAATAATTGAGAATCGACACCGATAAAGAAGGGTGTTGGATGAAAGAAGTTTCAGAGTTACTAAATAGTGATGTTTATTTACTTAGTACCATACTTTATTTATTGTTTCCATAAGAAAAAAAAGTAAATAAATAAACATACCACGTCACAATTGAGCTCAAGAATGATGTTAACAATAAGAACTATATATCATAATAATTTAAAATTTGGAGATGTAATTTGAACTTTGTATGGAGTCTACTTGTTGGTATGCTACATCTAAAATGTCTTTCCTCTCGAGAAATTATTTGTGGAGGCGGCAAAAAATGTGGTACTCGATTTCTAAGCTATAAAATGTAATTCAATGATTTTTCCTCTTCAAGAATTCAAGAGCATATTTGAGGAGATAGTCAGGGTATTTGACAAAATAATAATAGTTTAAATATTATTTTGGTCTACTTTCAACATTTATTTTATTTTATTTTTCATATTTATTAAAATGTCTAATTTTGGTTCCAGTACTTTAGTGACCATTTTGGTCATTTCATTTACATTTTTATCTCATTTTTTCGATCACAATTTTAACATGATACTTGGATCATTATTAGTCTATTTCGTAACATTGTTTCTATTTCATCTTTTTCAATAAAGAGAAATATAGAATTACATGGCCCCAATACCATAGATGCAAGAATGATAAAACAAAAATTTTATTCACGTTAGATCAAAAATGAGAATAAGAAACAAGAAACTTGTTTTTGTTGATTCCAAAATTTCTATACAATTTTGATAATATTCCTAAAACATAAGAAACAAAAAACATAAACAATATCAAATACTAGATTTCTTAATAAGATCAGAAATGAGAAACAAAAAACAAGAACAAATGGATTCTAAAATCTTAAAACATAACCATTAATTTATACGAAAGAATTTTCACTATATTCAAGACATGAACCAAAATAATCACTTTTTAGAAGTACAGAGATTGTAATAGAAATTTAGTTTCTAGAAATTTTGAAAGTATATGGACTAAAATAAACCAAAATTAAAAATACAAATATCAAAATCAAAATCAATGTTTTAAGAGTACATGAACAAAAATAAACCAAACCTCAAGTGCAAACCTCAAACCTCAAAGTACAAGAACCAAAATAGTATTTAAATCTTACATCTAATTTGACGAGCTAACACAGGATGAAATGATGAAATTTTTGGCATTGTATTAGACCAACAGTTCTTTAAACAATTAACCAATGAGAGTATAAGTTAAATTGTAAGTTTGATTCACAAATGCTTGTATTCCCCCAACCCTCAAGTCTCTTCACTACAATGTGGCCAAATCAAAAGGGTGACAATAAAATCTTAAGTCTAAATTTTCCTATGGAGGTAAGTGAATGATCTCCCCCTAACCCCTACAACTTGATCCAAGAATAACCACCTATGATCTACCATCAATGAGGATGACACTTTTGTCTGTGAAAGAATTACAAAAATTCTAAACTTCCCAAGTCCCAAATGAATCGTTAAACTAAGCGAGTTTCTTTGCTCGGCCGCTCGATGGAGCACCATCGTCTTTTTTCGACCCCGATGCCTCAGGCTTCCTTGCCCAAGCCGGGGCTCGGTCAGGCTCATATCTATAGTCATAGAATAGTTCCTCACCAGCACTAATTCTTTCCTTGGCAAAGATGCCAACCCGGTGATCTCCAGCAACCATGATGACCTGCAATACATGATTATCAGCTGAATGGAGGCATTATGGAGTTGATAGCAAATTTGGATGAACAAGATGCATAAAATGTACCTTGGCATAGCAGTTTGGATCTGGAGAATGATTGGCAAATTTTAATTTATCGCCCTTTCGGTATGCGTCAAGAACAAACTAAACACATCATAAAGAAAAACTCGTGTCAAAACTTGCACTAGAGTTTCAAAAGTTATTACTGAAGAGGATAAAAAGTAAAAGATGCTTTGTTTTCTAACAGAAACGTGCCTGGTCATTCAAATTGAACAGAAAGGATGAGTTTTCGCGGTCATATATTTTTCCTCGTTTATCTGCTTCCCTATGTGAAATTAACTCTCCAGTGTACTCGCCAAGATATTCGTGTTTTCCAACACTATTCTGGAGATGGCAACTCAATTTAGCAAGAAGCAGCATATGAAAATATGCTTACAATAGTTTGAATTTATGTTACCTTTAAAAATGCTCCCCAACCAGATACATCGGATCTTCCGAGTAAAACCTACAAATTGGAACCAAACTGAAGTCAAGCAACAATACTAACTCACATCACAATAACACACCAGGGGTGTTAAAAAAAACCAACCCGAAAGACCTGAGCAACCCAACCCATCCCCATACGGTTTAGGTTAAATTAGTTTGGATAAGATTGGGTTCATTTTTTCAAACTCAGTCGGGTTGGTTCGGTTCTTGGGTGAACCAACCCAACCACGATAATATATATTCATAAATATATAAATTTGTAATCAACCAAGATTTACTCACCCCAACTCCTAGACTTTACCTAAAAGTCCTCCGTGCACCCACCACAACATTACTAACTATAATCATGCCATCGACGCATCTCTTTCTCATCCCTGTATAGTTACTTTTAGTTACAATCCATGATCTTTCTCCATCCTACACCTCCTCCTTCCTTTATCCTACGTGTTAAATGACCACCAAACCTATATTTAACAACCAAACCTACGAGCCTAAGTTTATGGGCTACAATAATTTTAAGCATTTATCAATATTTTGACATCCTTCCTCACTTGTTGGCTTGAAAATTTATACAAGGCTCAACAAGTGGTTATCGATATTAACTAGAGAAAAATGACATTACAAAGATTTAAAAAAAAGTTAGTATAATCCAGCAAGGAAAAGTAGAATTTTTACTTAATAAAAAAATGTGCGATCACCAAGTTCAAATAAAAAACCACCTCTTGATCCAAAAACATTAATATCCGGTAAACCCAAAGGTAATGATATCATCAGGTTAGTATGAACTGTAAATAAAGAAATAATCAATTCAATGGTTTCAGGGGAAAAATCCATGCACGACATGCTTTTTCTCTCGAAACAATATATAATTAATATAGAATATAAGTTATTTTAGTCATGAAGGGATTTTGATCTATAAAGGACATCCATATTACGAGCAAAAGCCATGCTTCAACAGAGTGCAATAGAAGTATAGAACTAAAAACAAAAATCTAGCACTTCACTTTGGTCATAATTGAGCAAGAATAAATGAAAAGGAACAATAAAAAGTGATTACTCTTTGTTGTTGTTTAAGAAGAAGCTTCATGTTCCTGCACTCATAGTTATCACCTCTTTGGTTGGGAACCCCAAGACTACCATCGCCACAGCTACAAAAGCAAGTTGCACAGCAAGTTTAGGATATAAAAAATCATACAGAATAGGAGGAAAGAGCAGCAGGTAAATGCACTTAGTCTATGTGAGGAAAAAAATGGATAACTAATAGATGCATGAGACACATACTCATGAACACATATACCTAAATTATATATTCCCGAAAACGATATTTAACTTCAAAATACATAAAATCCCAAACATGATAATTACAATAAATATTCTGTTAATATCTAAATTTACAGAGATAATCACCCCAGAAAAATATTGCAAATATATGCATATACAAACATATGGATGCATTGACAGAAAAAGATTGCATGCATATATGTATACATTCGATTGTATGACAAGCCTATTGTTTAAAAGTCTCAATTTAGTCCCTTACCTTTAACACTTTTCAATTATACCTTTTCCATTGATGAATGTTGAAACTAGTTGATGATACGCTCATACGACATGATACTTGGTGAGGTGGCAAAAATTTAGATGAAGAATTTGGCAATCTAAGAGATAAAAATTTTTATCTTTTACACAATTTTTAAGAAATTGGCAGTAATTTTGACTTTCCTTCGTTCCTAATGCTTGCTCTAAATATTTGCCCACTCACTTAGGATCCAATGATTAGTCAGGTAAGCTTATCATAAGTATTTTAACATTGATCAACGAATTAAAGAAATATTAAAACGTAAGGAACTCATTTGAAAACAGCAAAATATCATTTTTGTTTTCTGCCATTTTCTGTTCTCAAAATTATTTTCAAGATCACATGCCAAATAAGTGTCCTATAGATGCTATTTTCTGTTTTTAAAATAGGGAGCATTCTTAAATGCTTCCCCAGAAAATAATAATAACAAGAACATCTTTAAAATCTGAAAATTCTCCATTGTTCATTAAGGCCAGCTAAATGGAAAACCAAAAGAAGGCAAAAAAATCAATAATTTTCTTTCTCCAATCCAAATGCCAAACCAAATACAACGATCAGCTTATCATACTAACATAGTCCCCGTCATTTCCATTGTAAATAACATCTTAACAGATGACTGAAAAGAAACTTGGAACTCACCTGACCCAACAATTCCTACAAACGTCAGGATCACATTCTCTATCTGCTGCAAAGCAAGGACATTGACGACTACGACATTGACTTTTAGCACAATGACAGCCTCTAAAACGGTTTTTGCAACTCTTAGGGCACCTTCAAATGTCAATCACAAGATTAAAACATAAATGAATCATTAATAGTTCCTCTAAAATGATCCATAGCAGAAAAGAGTAGCTATAATAAATTAGGATAAAACAAATCAGTATCAAAGCCAGCAATCATGAGGAAGAGGACTGCAAATAAATAAAAATAAGAGAAAAGGGAAAAACGGAATTCAAGTGTCATCCCATTTCTTCAACGAGGAAACCATTCAATAATTGATTCCTGAAACTAAGGGCTCACCCACAGTACTTCTCACAGCAGGTGCCATTTAAAAGACAGGCACACTGCTTTCCACAAGCAGTTTGGCAATTACATGGATTATACTGTCTGCATGGCTGATCTTTCCTTTCAGTTATTCGCTTCCGAATTGAATGGTAAGCAGCCGATTTCCAAGTATATTTCAGTCGACGAACTCGACCTCTTCTACGTAAGAACCTTGATCTTCTTCTCACCTCATTACTACCCTGAAGTTTATTTCAACATTAAACTTAGTACTAGAGGAAGAAAAATTAGACAGGATCATGTTTCCAAGAACCAACCTTGGCGTAACCTTCAAGATGAGAATTTGATCCGTCACCCACTTGGCTGCAATTCTTGTTCTCAGAATAATTCATGTATTGAAAAACTTCCCAACAGGTCTTCATCCCATTTAGTAAATTCCTTGCAATTAAGCAGCTGCATGAGAGATTAAAAACCACATAAACTATGATGAGAAATAATGTACATGAACTCAAAATTATAATGTAAGAACATATAAATAGTAAATGGTATGTATATAAGTTATAACCGATTGACTGATCTATATCACTCTTCTGGATTTATATCTATGACTTATTAATACTCTAAATTCAAGATGCTAACAAATTGTCCAGGGAAAAATGAGAGAGGCAATTTTATGATGTATTATAAGTCTGTAACCAAGAGACAATAAAAGACATGCATTATGCTAATGAAAACACACGAAACGATGACTAGAAGCTTAAATGGTATAGGATTAAACTAATTTCTTCATTGCCGTTTCACATGATAATAAACTCAATGGAAAGGAACAAATTGCTACATGAAGAACAATGCATATAGAATCAAGTCTCGTGGAAAAGTTAATACAAGAAAACGTATCTGTACACACAGACCTGCTCCTACCAAAAATCTCAATACCCTTCTCGAAAAGACCTTTCTCAATAGCTTTCCAAGATTTATCATCCGCCAAATCCTGCCTGCACAAATTTTCATCCACACACTCTTCCTTCCTCAAGTAGTCATCACAACTATCAGCCGGTAGATTAGTAATTATCTCATTTGATGAATTATTGAGTGTTTCATTCTGCTCAAATTTGTTGTGTTGCTGAGTCAGGGATTCCCTCCTCCTAGACCTTCCCGGTGTAGGAGATCTAATATTCTTACGTGAAGAAGAACTAGTATCGTCATTTTCTTTGCATGAACTAGATTTTAATTTCACATCACTTGGAAAATGACCTACACTGGCTAGAGATTCTGACTCGGAAGCAGCCATTTTCTTCTGCCTTTTCTGCATGCAAATGAGAACACGCTCAGCAACACGTTTGCTGTTCCTTTTACGAATTCCACTCACTCCCGATATCTTAAAATTTGGTGGCGGTGATTGATGAATAGTGTTCCCGTCCTGCCTAGGTCCATTCTCTGACTCGCTGCTTTCTGATATGTTCTTTGCATTTGATGAGGCACTTTCACTTTGATAGGATTTTGCCCTTCTTCGAGCAGCTTTACAAGAAGATTTCTTCTTTGACGAGATTTGAGCAACAGTGCCATCAGATGACATGGGATGTTTTTCTTCCAAGTCACTGCGAAGTGGAGAACCCCCTGTAATATTTTTGTCTGATTTAAGTACCTGTAAAAAAATATATCAGGTTTTGACTACTAAAATAGACATGGAGAATGTTGTTTGTTAATTAACCTAATGAAATCATAATAGTACAAAAGCCAACACATACTGATCGATAGCAGAGTGGGCCACAAGGTGCATTTTCCTCATCTACATGGCCCCATTTAGGTTGTTTCTCAGCCTGAGTTTTTTTTAACAGAACGACTTCTATTAATAACAAAATAATATCTATTTGTAAGATAAATGCAACAGAGCATAAATACAACCACAGAAATTCAAAATCTTTTAGCATAAACTTACAGGAAATACAAGATCCTGGGAACAACCATGCAGTCTACAATCAAAAACCTGTAGCATAAAACGTAATAAATATTGAGTAAAACAATATAAACACTAGACTGTGATAAGAGCAGCTACAAAAACTTACAAGGCAACGACGACAAAATAGATTGTCAAAGGAATCAAGAGCTGCATCGAGATCTTTATCAAGAAAAGAACTTCCAATATGTGAGATCTCCTCATTGATCTTATTATTAAAACACCCTATAGCCTTTTCTCCCTGGTTAAGCACTTCATATCTTGCCTGTATAAGATGTTTGATGGTGTTTCATATCTCTGTAAAGCCAGCACAAAGCAAATGGGAAACAGCTGGACCAAAGCTTACACTATGACCAGGTTTAATCAGAGGGAGCAGAAAAGAGGAGCATTTAAATTTTACATCATGTGATATAAAAGTCCATACCTTTATTTCACCAGGACTTCTAGAGAAACAATGAGAAAGTGACTCTAGCACCAGATCAGTTGAACCAATTTCTTTCATAGTCATGCTGTTGAGGTAAACAATACCTAGTTATCTTCACTTTTCAAGTACTTTAAGCAAAAACATCCAGAGTATTTGTGCATCACGTATCCAATTAAAATGTTAAACTTCAACTATGATTAGAGACAGCATTAAGCACCTCACAAAATCAATAATATAAATTGGAAAGTCCTCGAATCATTCCCACATAGCCTTTATCGAAGGAAGAAAATTTTATAATGCTATTCTTATTACAGCAAAATCAATGGGGATTGGAGGAAGAAAGAAGGCTATATCCTAAAATTGATCTGGATAATGCATATGATAAAGTGGGTTGGTATATTTTTATATGAAACAAGTATTTCATTGATGGTATGAAATATACAAAAGGCCACAAGGACAATTACAAAAACGCCTTCCAATTAATGATAAAGTCGTTAAGGGTGTATCTAGTGAAGGGGGGATAGAAACTTTTACGCCAACCAAGAGCTAGTACAGTAACTCTGTCAAAAAAAGAATCAAAAGGAATGAGATTTATCATTAAAGATTCTGTTGTTCCTTTCTAGCCATAAGCTCCAAAGGAAAGCTCTGATGAAAAGGATCCAAAGCGTAGCTCTATTCTTTTTGAATGGATGGCCAGCCAAGAGACAGTCAAGGAAGATGGATGGGTTGTTGTGCAGCGCTGTCTTCCAACCAAAGATAGAGAGGAGGTGTCCCCAAAATTTTGAGGCAAAGCTGCAACTGATTAAGAGATGTCCCGGTGATTCCGATGCCCTAAAACAAAGGTGACAGCAAATTGGAGAGAGGGAGATGTGTGGGAGCTTTTTCTAAATCCGATCATAGGTGTTCACTACCCCATGACTGAGCTCCCAGTAGAACTTGACCTTTTTGGGACATTTGCTCGGATCGAGTGGCTAAAACCATTTATCTTCGTATTATATTGAGATGCTTTGGTGGAATAAGAAGGTTTGGAACCAAATGGAGGAATTGAATAAGGAGATGTACCTCTTCCTACTGTTAGTAGAACTTTTCTAATGGAAGACTGCCAACTGTAATATTTTTTAATGGAAGACTGTGATTTAAGATTTTACTTTCAAAGTTATCTGTCAAAGGGGCCCTCTTTCTCCTTTCTTTTTTTTTTTTTTTACTCTTATGTTGATTCCCTCTGTTTTATATGCAAAAGTAGAAGATTGGGAGCTACCAGGTTCATGTTTGCCACATTCAACATGCAGACAATTCTATTACATTAAGCTCAAATAGAGATGGGATTCTAGGTTGTTGGTGGCAGCTTCTCAACGTCTTCCAACAGGCCTCAAGTTTGTCCATTGATATGTCTAAATCCTCGTGGCATCAACATTGAAAAAAATGAATTAAAAAACAGGCTGCAAGATTCGTTTGTAAGTATGATTTTCTTGTTCTTCTCATACCTTGATTAACCTTTTAGTGAAAAACAGAGGATGAAGGAGCTAGCAATGGGGTTTCTTCAAGCAGCTTTCTTCAACATTCAAATACAGAGGGAGAGGAAGAAGGAGAACTTAAGGCTTCTGGTATGCAAAATATCCAAAACACCCCAACACTTATTATTATTATTATTATTTTTTTATGAGAAACACAAGAAAATATATCCAAAAACACCCTCGAAAGAGGGGCGGGAAGAAACAGCCTAAGGGCGGCGGTAGAGATAACCCTCCCCCAAGAAGAACTATATAATCATGGACTTCCAATCTTGTATAAGCAAAAGGAGACTGTAGCTACAAAAAACTTTCTTGTGGATTGTTGCCCACCAAGAAGCCATATGCTTAATATTCACACAAAAAGAATCCACCGAGACCGTTTTTCCTTTAAAAATTCTACTATTTCTTTCTTTCCCTAGGAGCCATAGGAGAGCCCTTGCCGCACAATTCCAGAGAACAAAGAATTTCCCTCTAAGAGTAGAACCACCAAAACCCTAAGTGATGAAATCATCAATTTTCCTAGGAGGACAAAAAGAAAAATCAAGAACAGCAACCACAAAATTCCAAGCTTGAATAGCAAAAGGGCAATGCAGAAATAAATGGTCAATGTTTTCTGTATCCTTCCAGCACATATGGCACACTGTTGGAGAAAGTGTCCAATGGGGAAGTCTTCTTTGCACCTTATCAGTATTGATACTCCTATAAAACAGGGTCCAAAGGAAAAATTTGACCTTCTTTGGCACCCTGAAGTTCCAAATAGAAGAGGCAGTAGCAGAATTCAGCTTCTTCGAGGGAGAGGTGATTGCCAAGAAGGCTGATTTGACTGAAAACGTGCCTTTGCTATCTGCTTTCCACCCTATCCTGTCTCTACCTTGGCCTAGAATCACCCCTTCCAATTTTTCAGTGAGGACAACCCATCTATCAATCTCCCTATCAAAAAGATGTCTTCTGAAGCCTAAATCCCACATTCCAACCTCTGAAACCGAACAGTTAGCTATCGAAACGCCCTTCTTAGAAGAGAGCCTATACATATCTAGGAAGGAGGTAGCTAGAGCTCTAGAATCCACCCAAATGTCCTCCCAAAAATGCACTTTTTCTCCGGAAGCCACTTTAAAGAAGGTGAGGGTTGTGAATTTCCTTCTCGTTTCTTGAATGTCTATCCAAGGCCTTCCTATCGAGGTGCCATTTGTTGGACGCGTCGACCAACCAAGAGCTTCTTCTTCGTAGATAGCAGCTATGATTTTCCTCCAAAAACTATCCTTCTCTTCCCCAAATCTCCATAACCACTTCATAAGGAGGGCGTTGTTGCGAAGCTTTAAAGAGCCGACACCTAAGCCACCTTGTTGATTAGGTAACGCTGCGCTATCCCATCTAACCAAATTTCCAATCGGTCTATATTTACCTCTGTTCCAGTTAAAGTCTTTGATGATCTTTTCCATCGAAGAAATCACAACCTTGGGAGCCTTGAGGATAGAAAGATAGTAGATGGGGATGCTGTTCAGAACGGATTGAGCCAATGTAAGGCGACCCGCTTTTGAGAGCATCATAGAACTTCATTTGTGAAGACGCTTGTGCATCTTATCCACCATCAGGTGCCAAAAGCCAGCAGACTTATGATTGTCTCCTAGTGGAAAGCCCAGATAAGTGAAATGGAAGATTTCTAACCTGCACCCAAAGGTAGAGGCCCAAAGTTTGGTCTCATCCGGACTACAGTTTAAACCTATCACAGCTGACTTGGTCACATTTGAAGAAACCATGATATGTGCCTTATTAAATTTCATAGAATACTTTCAGGTTTTTAAGTTATTTTCCTCTCTTCACCGTAGCATTGCCATCGTCAAGATTTTAAATACAAGATTGTTTCCCAGAAGTCAGAATAAGAGGACAACAAATACAAGAGCGTTTCCTTCGTCCTATATTTTGGATGTATAATAATTGTAAAGAAATATGCACACATATACTTCTCTCCATCTTGAGATTGATAAATACACACATATATTTCCTTCGGTCGCATATTTTGAACACATAATAATTTGTAGAAGTAATGTTCACACATAATTTCTCTATCTCCAGATCCAAAATCTGGTGGAAGGCTGACAGTAAAGGCATTTTCACAGTAAAATCAGCTTTCTTGGCCATTACCTCCCCCTCACCCAGGCTGAATTCAGAAACAGCTTCTCTTATTTGGAATTTTAGAGTTCCAAAAAAGGTTAAGGTTTTCCTATGGACGCTTTTCTATTAAGGCACAAATATGTTAGAGAGAATCCAGCGGAAACTTCCCCATTGGGCCCTCTCCCCTGTCGCCTGTGGAATGTGTTGGAGGAATACGAAAACATGGACCACCTCTTTTTGCATTGCTTGTTTGCTACCAAGGTTTGGAATTATGTGGCAGCTCTCTTAGACTTTTCCTATTGTCCTCCAAGAAGAATTGATGATTTCATCAAGGAAGGCTTTGGTGGCTCCGCTCTTAAAGGAAAAGTCTTTGTCTTTGGAATTGTGCGGCGAGGGCTCTCCTTTGGCTTCTTTGGAGGGAGAGAAATAGTAGGTTTTTTTAGGATAAAGCAGTTTCGATAGACATTTTTTGTGTGAATATAAAGCATATGACTTCTTGGTAGGCTTCCATCCACAAGAAGATTTTTTGTAATTACAGTTTCCATTTGATGATATAGGATTGGAAAGCCGCGATTGTACAGCACCTTGGGGAGCGTTCACTCTACCCTCCGCCTTTAGGCTGTTCTTCCCTTTTTTTGGGGCTATCTTTTGATGAATATATTCTCTTTGTTTCTTATAAAAAAATATATATGTTTCTTGTAAAAGATACCTAATAAATGCATAGGCAACAATTGACAGTGAAACCTGAAATATCATTTATCATTAGCATAAGCCTGAATACAATCAATTTGGTTATACCGACCGAAGTATATAGTCTTCAGATTCTACAAAATCTCTTTTTTCCTCTTCATCCTCCATCACTTCTTCCTCACTGTCACTGCATATAAGGGCTTCTCCTCCACTTTGATCATAGTAAATTCTCCTCCGACCAACCACAGATTGATCTTCAGTCATTCTCTGGTTTCTGTACCAAAATCACCAAATATTACTGAAACAAGTCGTTCTTGTTGTGGACATAAATTACACATAAGGAACCAATGATTGGCTCAACAAATAACAAATACATCGTAAGCAAGGACAATGCATACCAAATAGGAAGTGCAAATTAGTAATATTGTTTCATCCAACAACCACAAAACTTTGGCCCCGTAGTTCAAAGAGCAAGTAGTAAATTAGATATCTTTCCAGTCAAGGTTCAAGCTAGAGTTTCCACCTACATAAGAATTAAGATATTATCTATCATATGGAAGGCCTAAATATTAGATTATCAAACAACTACCCATTGAACTAGGCAAGGTGCACTTAAGTCGGTTGAAATACCAACAACCATTTTTTTATTTATTTTGATATATGTGAGTGTTTAGATTAGCTTACACCCAGATAAATCTCACCAAATAACCATCTGACCCTCCATTATTTAATTGTCAAAAAACCTATAGGATCTTATCCTAAATAGGTGGGCCTGGGCCACCATAAGGTTTGAATCTATTTTCTTAAGATTAATCATGTACACCCAACTTTCACTACAGAGGTGAGGTCGATATGTTGAACAGCTAATAGTCCCATTTTTTAAGGATAAAAAAGAACCACGTAAGGAAAGGAGACTTCCTATTTGAATAACCTAGATTTCAGCACAGCAGATAAAAGGAGACATCCTATTCTCCAATCTCCATGAATACTTCGATCATTATTTAGCCAGGTATATATATGATTGATGTTCATTTTAAATGAATCGTGCCATAAAGCATGCTATCAGCCAATGCTATAGCCAAACTTGCACAAAATAAGTTTTATTTACAGCCAATATAGACTTAAATTTCACTGGGTTACTTAAAAGCAAAAATTTGTCAAGAAACAGAAATACAATCCAATACTCAAACAAAGATGGAAGCATAAAATTAAAATTAAGGCTTGAGCTAGATCTAAAATCAGTTATATGGTGTTATACAACCCCCAAGACTCCACATGTTAATCACATGCACGTGCACATGCATCATACACCCATGGATTTGAGTGCTAGGACAATTCAAATAATACAAAGTAATTAGAGAAATCGAAGTATACAAGAGATCTAAGGAAACAATGAAGAAATATTACAAACCTGTCCAAAAATATCCATGTAGTATAAGGAGGTAATCTTTTTACTTCAGGAAGCTTAATAGGTCGTACAGCATTTCTAACCGCAACATTAGATCCAAGAAGAACTGCAGTAGATGCATGGCTATCTTCCTGAGATCGGTCATTTTCCCCATCACTTACATCTATGCCATTCTGCATATCAAGTGCGTCTTTCTGCCTCTTCGTTAATAGGTCCACCCCCTTATCTGAATCATTGACCCTTCTTATCCTTCTTTCTGTTGATGATTTCAACAAGTGAGTGGTGATGCCAACCAACTTCTGCTTGTTTTCTTCCATTCTTTTCTGGAAATTAAGAAGAATCCAATAGAAATTAATAATTCATACGCTATAATCATAAACTCAACTGCAAGTTAGCTAGAGAAATGAGAAATTCTAGCAACCATAATGAAGGCACCTGTACGGAGTTGCAACGTTCACCAGCAACCTGCTTCTTTAGAAAATCAATGACTGATAGGATCTCCTTAGAAGCAGAATCTTGTCCTTGTGGTTTCATTGTCTGTTGGGAAAGCAGCAGAAAGTTGGATGAGTTTTCAAATAAAGTGGAAAGGTTTTAGTTCCATTAGAATGAAGAAAAATGACCTAATTTCTTCCTTTTCCTTTTCTATTATACTAATAGGCATAGGCTCTACCTGCACCATGGGGGACAACCAAAATATTGGATAACATATATGATACACATTCCAATAAAAAAGCGACCTAGTCAAATGCTAAGAAAATAATGAGGAACCTTTAGCCTAGCCATTAAAGAAAACTAATGGATACTTCGACAGAGGATTATTATGGAAAGTTAAGCACATTCCACCAAAATAACCCGATACACTATAGCTGTTAGAAAGTAACGTTTAACAAATTAAAACATTGCCTATTTTATAGTGCGTTGTAAGGTAGAAACATAAAAATTTGATACTAAAAGCTTCCAAATATTTCAGCCATTTAACAAAGCACCAACGGATCAAGCATCTCGTCAAGCTATAATTCAGATTATTACAATTTAAACAAATCTTAAACGCGATGATCAAAAGCCAATCCATTTTTACAATGCCGTCACAACACTGACAAGTCTAACCACAAAACAAAACTCTGCAACGAAAACAAAAACTAATAGATTCTCACCCACAAATCACAATTCAAAATCTGTGCATTAGAAGAGAACGACAGGGAAGGGAAGCTCATTACCAGTGGGTCATCCTGCAGGTCCGATCTGTCGGCCGAAGGTGAAGGCAAAGAATCCTTCGACTCCATTGACTTAGGCGAATCTGCCGACCAAAACTTGAACCCGAATCCACAATGGGGTTCGGATCGGGGTCCAGTTCATACAATGGGCAACCAAAATCCGCACAATCCAAAGCAAAACCCGTGATGGGCAATCCACCAGAAACCCTAAAATCAGTCAGGTCAACATGGGAGGAATAGATGTAGATGGGGCTTCCAAAATTCGGCCGCGGCGATGATGGGCATTATTCTCGATTACAAGAATATATAAACAACCGGATGATTTTGAACAGTTCTGAATTCCAAAAGAGGGGAAAAAGGGAAATTAGAAATAGAAATCCGGGATAGAAATACAAACGTGTTTGTTTGTTTGTTTGGTGCGACGAAAGAGAGAGGAATTTTGGGGGGAAAAGGAAAGCGACGGGTTGTTTTGAATTATATACTGTAAGTTCTGTAACTACGAACTGCATCCGCCCAATTGAGATCTTGCGCCTCTCGTCCAATGGCGGAATTCCCCGTCTCGCCACCCAATGTTTGGATCAAAAAGCTGAGATTTTTCAGAGATGATGTTGAAAGTGCCTAGTTTTTAGACGATTTTCTGTTTCAGAAATTAATTATTAACGCTAAGATGAGTCTATAAGGATTTGGGTGTACAAGTTTGTAAGCTTTTTTAAATTTCATTTTCGGACTCGAATTTTAAGATTATTTCAATTTTGATCTGAATTTAAAAAAGATTTTTTTTTTCTTTTTCGTGAATGGATTAAGGGCAGGTTCGATAACATGTAGATAATGATTTTAATCCCCTTAACTGACTTGTGTGGCTTCAATGCATATCCATATTTGAAATCGTGTTATTATGAAAATTTATTTTTTAATTTACATATCTTAATGTAATTTTAGAAAAATAGTTCGTGTCGATGACATAAATGTTAAAATAAAAATAAAATGAGTGATGATATAATTATAATTTATTTGTAAACATTAAATTAATGAATGATATTACATTTCCATCCGGCCATTATTTGTTGTATATTTTTTTTTATCTTACTTAAAAAGTATATTTGAATTCTTAACAAAATTTAAAAAAACAAAAATAAATTTTTAAAGACCACCTTTGTTTAGTTTTCAAAAATTTTATAATTTTTTACAATAGGAACAGAAATTTTTATAAGCTTAATTTTCAGAAAAAATAAAAAGATAACATGAACATAAATTTTATTATCTATCAATTATTTACAAGAAATAAAAATTCGTCTAAGTACTAGCTCCCTTGACACAACTGTCTATACAAATAAAAAACAAGAGACAAAATCACTAACCTACCTATTTATCAGACGACTCGTAGCATGAGTCTGAAATGACTCTTGAGAGCAGTATTTTTAATTTCAATACTTATTCCATAACCATACTTAGAAAAAGCAATATCTAAATGAAGTGATTTCAAATTTTTCAAAATCATATTCGACTACGTAACCAAAATACTCAAAAAGTGCTTTGAATCGACCAATCTCACACTAAAGTGGAACTATCTATTCAAGTAGATTGAAAATTTAAGGGTCTCTTATAGCATTTCAGGACGAGAGAAGAACATACAACGCTAACGGAAGAAGCAGCCATGCAAGCACCGGCGAGCCATGGCGGCAGCCGGATTCCGATGAAGGGATATAAGATTCCGGCAGCAATAGGCATACCTATAATGTTATAGCCAAGTGCCCAGATGTAGTTAAGCCATATACGATAAACTGTTTGTCTTGAGAGATCTATGGCTGTAACAACATCTTCCAAATTGCTTCGCATGAGAACTATATCAGCTGCTTCTATGGCAATATTTGTTCCAGCGCCAATTGCAATGCCAACATCAGCTGCTGCTAAAGCATGTGAGTCATTTACTCCATCTCCCACCATTGCCACAATATTCCCTGTCATCTGCATTCAATTGCCAACAAGAGATGAGTCTGAGAGCTTTAATAACTTTTTTATCTAATTTTCTTGATAACTGGGAGTCGGAGCAAAGCTCCTCTATATCCAAGGGCACCCGCGCCCGCCCCAAAGTTTGGACCTGGGAGACGTCAAAGTTCTTAGTATCAAGTTCACCAGAAAGTTCGAAGTTGAGACCTCTAAACTAGTACGATCAAGAGATTTCAAACCCTTGCCAACTGAGCTGCCTCTCGAGGGCTAACTTTAATAAATAAAGAATATAATATTACCGAAGAGCTTGTTGTTGGGCATGTTGAGACTCCCAAATCTTAAGAGAAAAAAATTAGTAATTTAGATGCCTTCCATTAGTTTAGGATAGATGTCAAGACAACAAATCAAAGTGCAAGAAAAACTCTCAACTTCCTGAATGCAAATGTCCCATTAATGTAATAATATGTTTAAAAGTTACGAATATGAAAAACCAAGATTAGATCTTTAAAATAAAGAGATTTTTAGTGTTAAGTTCAAATTCTACATTCTCTATCTACTCTTAGAATAAATATTTCAATGTTGAAACTCATTATTCTTATAGAGCATGAGCATAAAACTTCCTATAAAAGCAGCAAGTATAGCTGTAGGAAACAGAAGCTTTACCTTTAAGGTTTTTATCTTGTTAGCTTTTCCCGTTGGATCCATCTCTGCAAAGACCTCGTTAATCCCAACCCCTCTTGCAACGGCAAACGCCGTGGCCCAGTTATCGCCAGTGACCATTATGCTCGTGATGCCGATTGAACGAAGATATGATATGACAGCTCTAGTCCCAGGTTTTGGTGGATCTGTAACACCAAAACCTCCAGCTACCCTGCCATTAATAGCAACTAAGATACACGTTTGAGCCAGCCGCTCATTTTCTACAACATAGCGATCAACTTGAGGACCAACAGCAATGTTGTGAGCTTGTAAGAGCCTTCTGTTTCCTACTAAAACTGGAATTTTGTCAACTTTTCCACCAACCCCTGCTCCCGGGAACACCTCGAAGTTCTCAACACGCTTGAGACGTTCGGTTCGGGAACCAAACTTCTTCCTCATTTTCTTTGCATGCTCCACTACAGATTTTGCTAAAGGATGTTCACTGTTTGACTAATTCCAAAGATTAGAAAAATGTAAGATCACAAGTTCTATTTTAGTCTCGTAATTATATGGGTTTATGATAAATTTTGAAATAGTGAAAATATTTTTAGTTAATTAAAATTTCATGTATCGCATATATGTGTGTGTGTGGTAAGTTTTATTTTATAACTAATATTTAAACATAAATTATATAAGTATACTAAATAGTTGAAGATAATAGGAATTGGGAAATGAACCAAACCCATTATCTCTATCTAAATTATTAAATTGGCTCAATCCCACTCCCCAAATCCAATCCACCCATCCACCCACGTATGGTAAGACCGTAAGTCTAGATCCTTCCCTTTAGAAAACTGTCACCCTTCCACTAAAATAAAATATTTTAGACTTAAGGTATCTCTCACTTCCTCTAGCCTCTGTGACACTTCCTCTTCCTTCTTCACCTTCCTTCTCTGCTTCCTTTCACTTAACTTTCCAATCAGCTTTGTCGTGTCACATGCTTATGCTTATATTACATCTCTTTGGTTCTCTTCTTCCAGCACCTAAATTTGTTTGGCACTCTTTTCTCTAATTTCTTTAATATTTTTCCTATGCTCTTTTCCTTCCGTGAGTCTGGAAGAGTATAAGAGAGACGTTTCATTGTAAGATATTTGAATGAATCTTCTTCCCTCTATGAAATTTTTGAATAGTTTAGTTTCATTTCTAACCATTCATATTTTGAAATAGAACGTTACCAAATGGCCCGCTATGCTGCTTTATGCCCCTGCTAGTGTGCATACACATACCCCCATGCCTGTGCTTGCCCTTGCCATTACACCCTTGCCATTGCACCGTGCCCCAACTGTCTTGCATTCATACCAGCATACCTACGCCCACGCCCTGCCCGCATGCCCCATGCGCCCAGCTGCTAGCATCCCTTACGCCTACCCTTGCCCTACCACTAGCACCCACGCCAGCTACCATACTATGCACTCGCCATCTTGGCACTTTCCTTATTTGTAGTTGCTAGGTCTCTGAGTCTTATTTATAGCTGATGGGATTTTTTTATGGGAAATTAGTGTTTTTTCTTTTTACTTATTCTTGCCGCCCCTTGGGTCCCATTGAAGATTATTTATAGCCAAGTTACAGTCTCGTAAGAAAAGGTAAGTTTTGGATGAATAAACCTTTTAAGTTTCCTCACATTTAAGCCGAGAGCTTGTGTGGTTCGCAATTCTTGTGTAGACTTGCACGCCTAAAAATAAGGCATATTAAGTTTGGTTGGTCAAAAGGTAGCGACTCAGCCTTTTCCTTTGGTTGTGTCAAATTGATTTTTTTTTTTTTTAATTATGAGAAACTGCACTTTCATTGAGAGAAATGAAAAAAGAAGATACACAAAAATGGCATACAAAAAACAGCCCGGCAAAGGAAACCCTTATAAGAACGGGCTCCAATCCAAAAGAGTAAGACCTAACGGAGAATTACAAAAGGCGTTAGTGGCCGAACCTCGTAATGAAGTATTAAACCTAATGAGGTCCCAAACAGAATCCACAGATTTCTCCACACCCCTAAACACCCTATTGTTCCTCTCTAGCCAGATACCCCATAAAGAAGCCAGAAAGCACGCTTGCCAGAGAAAGCGGGCTCTGTCACGAAAGGAGGGGAATAACAACACTTCCTCCATCATCGCCTACAATCTCTGGAACGAACCCAAGCAATACCAAAATCTCTAAAAAATCGACACCATAACTCCTGCGCAAACTGACAGGACCACAACAAATGCTCAAGATCTTCCGCGGCCTTCCTACACATAACACACCACTGCGGGCCCCGGCAAAAGGAAGACATCTTTTGAATCCGATCCAAGGTATTGACTTTACCAAGTAAGACTTGTCATCCAAAGAACTTAATCTTCTTTGGAATTTAAATCTTCCAAAGAGAAGTAAACCAAGGGGACACCAAGGACGGAGAAGAGGAAGCAGAGCGAGAAGCCAAAAAAGATGAAGACGACGGGGAAATCAGGACCTGGAAAAAAGAGCTACAAGAAAAACCCCCCGAAGGATTGGGAATCCACACCCTCACGTCTTCCCTCCCAGAGGAACACGAAACACTAGACAACAGATCAAGTAATGCGGCAATCTCTAACGATTCCCAATCAGTTAAAGACCGAGAGAGCCCCAGCGAAATGGACGAAACCCCTTCCCAAAATTCAAAACCTCGGCCACAGAAAGGAGTTTCTCTTCAGACAAAATGTAAATCCGAGGGAACGCAAGACTCAAGGGTTTATCACCTAACCAAGTATCCTCCCAAAAGTAAGTATTAAGACCCTCCCCCACCGAAACTCAAAGAGAAAGAGAGAAAACGGGGAAACATAATGCAATAACCTTCTAGGGATTGAAATTGCTCACCTTAGACCCACCTGCCGGAGTCCAGTCAAACGGATGTTGCCCATACTTACTCACAATAATCTTTCGCCACAAGGCGTTAGGTTTGTGGAAGAAACGCCATAACCATTTGGCCAGGAACGCCTCATTCATAAGTCTCAAGTTTCCAATACCCAACTCTCCCAAAGGTTTGGACACCTCTTTCCAATTAACAAGTTGAGCCTCACCCCCCTCCTCCACACCTTCTCAAAGAAAATCTCTCATAATCTTCTCTAACCCTTCAATCACTTTCACAGGGATCTTGAAGAGGGACAAAAAGTAATTCGGAATGCCTCTCAAAACAGATTGAATCAACGTGAGTCTCCCACCTTTCGAAAAGAAAGCCTTCTTCCGCGAAGAGAGGCGCTTCTGAAACTTTTCTAGCATCAACGTCCAAAAGATAGCAGACTTAGGGTTATGACCAAGAGGAAGACCGAGATACGAGTAGGGAAACTTGCCTACTTCGCACCCTACCAGGGTCGCCCACTCACTAAGTTTACCATCCTCACAATTAATGCCCGATAAAGAACTCTTTCCCCTGTTTATCTTAAGACCTGAAATAGTTTCAAAGAAACCAAGGAGGCCATTAAGATTCTCAAACGCCCTAAAATTACCGGAGCAGAAAAGAATGGCATCGTCAGCAAACTAGAGATGCGAGAGACGAGCTTTCTCCCTCCCCACTTCAAAAGCTTCCAAAGCCCCTTTCTCCACTTCAACTGAGATAAGCCTACTCAGGATATCCACCACAAGAATAAACAAAAACGGGGACAAAGGATCACCTTGCCAGAGACCTCTTGAGTCTAGAATTTTTCCTCGAGGTCTCCCATTCACCAGGATAGAGTAGTTTACCGATCTAATGCAATTCCAGATCCAACCTCTCCATTTGTACCCAAAACCTTTCTTCCTCAAAACCTTATCCGAAATCAATTTTAAAAAGAACACCCTCTCTCTTGCTCTTCCTATAATCCTCAATCGCCTCATTAGCAATCAAAACTTGATCCAAGATTTGTCTACCAGCAACAAAAGCACCTTGCATCTCCGAAATGGTAGTAGGCATAACCTTTTCCACCCTATCAGTGAGAGTTTTTGCGATTATTTTATAAAGGCTCGTAACCAAGCTAATGGGTCTAAACTCTTTCACTTTGACAGCATTCTCCTTCTTCAGGACTAAGCACACATAGGTCTCGTTCATAGAAGAATCAATCACACCCCTCTCATGAAACTTACGAAACGCTTTCATCAAACCCTCCTTGACTCCATCCCAATTATCTTGAAGGAAAGTCATAGTGAAACCATCCGGGCCCGGAGACTTATCTCTATCAAAACCAAACACTACCCGACGAACTTCTTCTAGCGAGAAGGGAGCTTCGAGAAACTCTTTCTCCATAACCGAAATGGGACTCCAATCCGAACCTTCCAGAAAAGGCCTAGAACACAGCACCGGGGAGTACAAAGTCTTGAAGAAAGAAATCACTTCCTCAAATTTCTGATCCTCACGCAACACCTCCCCCGACTCATTCACCAATGTAGAAATAACGTTCTTACTTCTCCTACCATTAGCCAGACTATGAAAAAATTTTGTGTTACAGTCTCCCTCCTTAACCCATTTGAACTTAGCTTTTTGTCCCCAGCTTTGATCTTCTTTCCGAAGGATATCACCCAACTGACCCTCCAACCTACACCTATCTCCCAACTGCTCCGGCGAAAGGTTTCCAATCACTTCCAGAGAATCGAAGACTTTGAACTTCTCAAGAATCTCCACCTTTTCCACCCTAACATTTCCAAACGTCTCAACATTCCAGACTTTAAGAGAGGCTTTAAGGGCTTTTAACTTCTTCATGAAACGGAAACCTACCCATCTCCCCTGGACTTTAGACCTCCACCATCCAGGAAAGGAAGCTTTAAAAGAAGGGTGAGAGAACCACATATTTTCAAACCTAAAAGGGCAAGGACCCATTTAACCTCTCCTGAAACAAGACTCAGGAGCCAATGATCAGACGTTATCCTAGGACCCAAAGACTGCTTCACATTCAAAAAACCATCTAACCAACCTTCCGACAACAGAAACCTGTCCAGTCTACACCCAACTCCTTGACAAGACCACGTAAACCTCCCATTCACTAGGGGAGGATCCAATAACCTACAATCCTCAATCACACCGTTAAAATCCTTCATAGAGCTAAGGAATCTCCCCACCAAAGATTTCTCAGAAGGGAACTTGACCACGTTAAAATCTCCTGCGAGACACCAACACTCCCCACAAAGACCAAAGAGGCTACCAATTTCCTCCCAAAACTCCTTACGACCTTTAGGGGACGTCGGGCCATACAACCCAGAGACCCATCCCTACCCCATCGAAGGGAAATGAAAGGCAACTGAGAGGGAATACGAACCTTTAACCACATCCAACGACCTAAGAATCTTACTATTCCACATCATTAGAATCCCTCCCGAAGCCCCCAGAGATCCTAACCCTGCCCACTCAACATGCCGAGAGTTCCACAAACTTTTAACAAACTCTTTACAATAACTCTCCTTTTTCGTTTCCACCAGAATCACTACATCCGGGTTCTCTAAAAGCAAGAGCTCTTTAACCAACCTTCTCTTCTCCTTGCCCCCCAAACCCCTCACATTCCAAGCCACGACCTTCATTGGATACCTTTAACGCCCCTGGCATCCGAAGAAGCCACTTTTCTGTCGTAATTAATCGAAGACACTTGATTCTTCAACTCCCTTTTACCTTCTGAGACCAAAGCCGTCCCTGATTTACCACACGCCTTCCTACCCTTAGGGGGCTCCTTACCCAAAGAAGGGTTTGACTCCTCCATAGGAACTATCTGAAGACCCACGTTGGAGAGCAAAGAACACCAACCAAACCGTTCATTCAGCAAGCGGGATTGGAAACTAAGGGAGGAGAGGCATCATCCGACACCCAAAGATTTAAAAGGTTTGCAACTAAACAATTCTGACCTCCTCCCACTCTACTAACGTCAAGGGGCAAAGGATTTAGAGTTGGAACAGACTCACCCGAGAATAGGGAAAAGGGCTCAGCGGTGCCTACGGTACAATTCACCCCTGGAAGACTGAGGGGACAAGGAGGGATAGACGAGACACAAGTCAAAAGACCCCCAACCTTAGGAGAAGAAGACACCAAACCTACCGAATTCCCAACGCAGAAACCGCCTCCCTCTACAGACCCCCTTGGTTACACTTCAGAATCGGGGGATTAAAAGACAAAGAAGAAGAACTTCCTTACCTAGATCAGTCTCACAATGAACCAAACCTGAGGGGTTCTCCTTAGCCAGAGCCGGAGAGATCGCCTCTGTAGGAATACCGAAAGAAACACCAACCACCTCCGGACATGAAGGAGAAACCTGCACCTCACCCAACTCACCTTCCTCCATATCGAACATCTTGCACAACGACCCATCCAAACCGCAATCACTCGAATTCCTCATGACCGGCGAAGACAAAAAAGAATCGTCCTCCGAAAGACTCGCAATAGAGGGATCCGGTGACGACAGAGGTAGCCCATCTTCAAACAAGGGAGAAAAAGAACCAGAAACACCTATCTCATCACGACCAGCCGAACCGGAGTCAACCCCTTCTTTTCCTTTATAACTTGGAGTTCCACCCAAAGACTCCGACCCATAATTTTTACCAGCAACTGTGTGTACTCCCACACTACTCCCTGGCCTAATATCCTTAAAAGAATTTATCTCTAAACAAATAAGATTATCTCGGCCCACATGGCGAACCGGCCCACCAGCAGAAGGATGGCCCCAAAAAACCACCGGCCCGTGATCACACCCTTCCCCTCTACTATCTAAATCCTCACCTGCCCCCTTTCTACCACCATTTGAAAATTTACCAGAAATAGTTAAAGTATTGCAAGGTTTAGAAATTTCCATGTCACTTCCTGTAGACTTCCCCTCTGCTAAGCTCTGACATCGTACGGCCTCGGCCCCACCGTTGAATCCCACGAGGTCATCTTCTCCGGCCAAGTCCACCGGAAAAGCCAGCAGGAAAGAGATCGCAAATCTTGCGTTTTCACAGTTCAGAAAGCAACCTTTCGGGATGAAGCCATTTTCTCTTCCGGAGACCTTGACCCAAACATCTTCCTCCCACGAACTCCCAAAGAGAATTCCTTCTTTCTGCTCCTCAAGCCCGCCACAGAGGGAAGCCAGACCAGTGACTACTTCTACTGTACAAAGATGGGGGGGAAGATCTCGGAGCTTTAGCCAACCTTTTTTGAACACTTGACTTCTATTCTCCACTATGAACTCCGCATTCCACTGGGTTAGATTAATTACACAACCTCCTAACACCCCACGGCCGAAACTCCTCAACAAGGAGAGCTTCTTAACATCTTCACACCGAACCACCGCCAAGTTGCAGCAGAAAATATTAATCAGAACACTATCTCCTGCTAAACTCCAAACAGCACGCTCAATATTAGCCCATGAGTCATCCGCTCTCTCCCTAACCAACAACAAACAAAGATCCGTATTGAAGAGATAACTAATATTCTTATCAAAAACCTTTGGAGAAGACGAATCCAACTTTCTACCCGAAACCGCTTGTGCAAAGGAGGTGTCCGCTCGACGAGCCCCGCCGGAAGTACCCGCTATCTCCCCCCAACCCCTTTTAGGATTTCTTTGCTCGAGGATCAAACCCAAGTTTTCCCCGAACGTTCGCCACCCCTGACCTCCCGAACCTTCTGGGACGAACAATTTCGACTGTTTTCCACGTTTGGCCTCCAACACCACCACACAACACCTTCCTTTAGCATTTTTTACCAATTGAACCCAAATCAAACCTATCGGCGAACTCCATCTCTTGAAAAACCGCTCCACTAACCCCCTAGAAGCAATCTCCTTAAAACCATCCCTGACCCATGCTACCAAACCCAATGAAAGACACAAGGAAGAAGTCCTGCCATTGCTAAACTCCTCAATCACAACTTCCTTCTTGTTACCAGTTAACAAAAAAGAAAATTTTTTCCTCTCAACCTTCGCCGAGAGAGAAGAGTCACCACCGACTCTCATCTCTAATAAATTTGACACAACCACACAAACAATGATAAGAATGGTTGTGTCAAATTGATTTGAAGGTTTTTATGTTTGTGTGCGAGGAGTTTTCATAACCAATATTTGTTTCCTAGGCCTACGCCTGGAGGTTGTCCTATCATTTTGTATTGAACCACCTTTTTATTGAATTTTTGCGGCATTCTTTCTTTGTAAGTTGGTTTTTTCGTTGAAAAAACTTGAGAAATTTACTTAGTATTTACTTTGTGCATTTTTTAGTAGGAAACTGTTCCAAGTGCATAAATCCTTTGTATTCAACCAAAATTGTGCACTCACCTCTACTGCTATTGCTACATCACAGAGCACCTCCATTGGAAACGTAGAAAAAAGCACAACACTAACTACCTCTGGCCTGCCAACTGTTAGGGTTCCGGTCTTGTCAAAAACTACCGTTTTCACCTGAATGGTTGGAAGATAAAAGCTTTAATTCAATATTCATCCACTTAAAATTTTCATGTTCAGAAGTAAGTAATAAAAAGTATTTTGGAGCAGAAGTATGAGAAAGCACTTGTATAGTGTAGCTGGTCAAAGTGCTTGATCAAGACGCACTTAACAGCACTTTTAAAGAAGCACTTAACAGCACTTCAAGTATGAAACAAAAAAGTGATTTGTTATTGAAGACTTTTTACTAAAATGTTATAATTGAAGTCCTTCTACTGAAAGAACACCAAACACATTTATAGTTCTACACTCTTAAAAGTGGTCTTAAGTGCTTCTCGATCAAGCATTTAAGCTAAAAGTACTCTAAAAATGTTTTCTAACAGAAGTACTTTGAAATGCTTTTCAACTTTTCTTCCAAAGCATTTTATATTACTAAGAGATAGACTCTCAAACATAGCCGTAGAGTACCTTGTATGCATTTTGAAGCGCACTTGCTCCCTTGATGAGCACACCTAGAGAAGCACCCTTCCCTGATGCAACCATGATTGCAGTTGGCGTTGCTAAACCAAGGGCACATGGGCATGCAATCACCAGCACTGAAATTCCAAACTGCAGGGCAAGTTCAAACTCATCCATGCCTTTTGGAATCCAATATTTGGGGTATAAACCAGCCTCTCCCCAGAATAACCATCCAAGCCATGTCACAGATGCTGCCACAACAACCTAAATCAGACAAAGAAACAAAGAAACAAAACTGTAAAATTATTCTCTGCAAGTCACATTAAGTTTAATAGGTAGTGAAGAGTACGTATGAAAATCATTAAACTCACAACAGGAACAAAAAATTTTGATATCCGATCTGCTAGCTTTTGAGCTGGTGCTCGAGATAGCTGAGCTGATTCTACGAGTTGAACAATTCGAGAAAGTGTAGTATCTAAACCAACATGAGTGGTCTTAACAAATAAGCATCCATTCTCATTGACAGTCCCGCCAATAACCTGTTCATGGCATCAAAAGTATGCAAATCTACTTTGATTCATTGTTAAAAAAATTGTTAATTTAGTTGATGAGAATGGCATATGACAGGGAAAGTGAGTTCATTTTTATCTTTCATCTTTTCTTTTTTTAAGATAACTGGGACTCGGGACTTTGCTCCCATATACTTAGGGACACCCGTGCCTGCCCCAAGGCTTGGACCCGGGAGACCTGAAGAGTTTTTGGTATTATATTCACCGAAATGTTCGAACTTGAAACCTCTAAGCCAGTATGACCAAGATACCCCAATTCCTCGCTAACCAGGGGCAAACCAGGCTGCCCCTTGGGTGTGAGTTAATTTTTATTTAAACTGTCAATTTTATCACTCTAGATTTAGATAAATATTGCAATTTTAATCCTATTGTCATTTGTTATATTTATCTACTAAATTCAACAAAAATAAATAAAAGATCTTTCAAAACCTACTAAACTCAACGAAATTAAGCTCTAACAAATTAATTCACAAAATCAAAGTCCTATCAAATCGATACACAATATCAATCTTTGAATAAATCTTTGTAAACTTGTTAATTTCAACAAAAGCGCAATCCTAGATGTCATCTTTCTTTGAAGTCCCATCAAGTTTATACTAAACCTCTATTTGTAAATCCATTGAATGCAAAATATAAAACTTTTTAATGATTATTCAACAGGATGTCTAATAGCCAGTAAAAATTTCCATATTCATTAAAATCTAAGGTTCAATTTGATGAAATTGAAAGTTGAGATTACCTTGTTAAGATTTTTTTGAATGGGATCTCGCCTTGTCAAGTTCAATGGTAAAAATTGAATTTTTTCTCCAACTTTTATTTGCCTTTAATTTTTCTCTCATAAACATGGCACAAACCCAAACTTACAGTCTACAGATATGAAGAAGGCAAGAAATGAGCACCTTGTCACCAGGTGTTTTCAGGATGGATTTTGCTTCTCCAGTGATTGTACTCTCATTCACATGGCTTTGACCACTAATAACAATCCCGTCAACAGGAACTTTAGCTCCAGGAACAATCTTAACTATATCATTTCTCTGTATCAGCTGCGTATCAATCTCCATCTCTGATAGAACATTTCCATGATCATTCAAGGTCATCAAACAAGCTGTATCAGGAGCAAGATGAGCAAGCTTTGCCAAAGCATCTGATGTTTTCCCTTTGGCCATGACCTCCAAATATTTTCCAAGTAGAATGAAGGATATCAACATGGAGCTAGTTTCAAAGAAATCTTGCCCTCTAAAAGAGGTGGAAGTGAATGCTTTAAATAATATGTATACTGAGTAAAAGTAAGCAGCATTGGTGCCTAGGGCCACCAGAACATCCATATTTGCAGATTTCTGCCGTAATGCATGGTATGATCCTACATAAAATCTGTTAAAAATCATCAAAGAAAACAATTAAAATATCTAAAACACATTTTCAAATTAAAGAAACTTAGGACTTATAAACCCTAAACGATAAGCTCAACCATAAGCTCCGTAACATTCTCATCTATGTATGTTTTCTTTCCCTGTTTTCAAGGGAAAAAAAGTCTAGTTGGGTAATTGCTCATGTTCTTTTTTTTTCTATCTATTATAAAACCTCAAAATTGTGTTCAGTAACCAATGGTTAAATTATCCCATGGTTCGTATTTGTTTTAAATTTTAATTTGATCCTTAAATTTTGGTTAAATATCTCAAAATGCCCTTGAGTTTATCAAATATTAATAGTTTTATTACTTGACATACTTTCTTTAAGTTCTAGCTCATTGCCCATCTTTCCAAAGAAAATATATCATGTGCCCAATCAAAACATGTAAAGTAAGATAAACTTTTTGCAATGTCATGTGTAAGATTTAACAAAAATCAAGCCTAAACTCTTAGAACAAGATTAAATTGAAACCAAGCACGTCCATAAGAAGTAAATACATGAGTTAACCAATAATTAAACTTCAACTTGTTTAAATATTTATAATAAGTAAAAAAAATAATGCAACACTGTTGTTATATATGTTTTGAAAATTTGGAAACATGAAACAAGGAGGAAGAAAAAACTAGATACTTTTTTATGGAGAAACTAGAAACAAGTAACCGTGATCAAGTTCTTCAAAAACTAAAAACAAGTAACAAAGAATGAGAAATGAGGCTCAAATAGAGATTCATGAGAAAATACGAAGAAGCTAAGAACAACCAAAGATTACCTCCGACCAGCAATGAACTGGACTGGTGTGCAGAAGATCCATCTAAGAACCATTCCAACAGTAAGCATATTGTAAGCCCTATAATTCAACCAGTCCCCATAAGGAGGAAGCATAGGAAGCACCATTGCAAAAGCCACCACTGGAACTGAAAACAAGCAGCTCAGCAAGAACAAATTCCTATAAGTACAAACTTCTTGAAGCTGCTGCACATCTCTTCTTCTCGGAGGAACATACAAGCTTGCCCTATAACTCTTCAGGCACTGCAAAAGAGACCTCGGACCAGTCTGGTCAGGGTCATAACCGATGGCTACCTTCTGCCCAACCACGTCCATTTCAACAAAATTCACACCACAGGCTTGCTCCAGAGAGGATCTAATGGCGGCCATGTCTTCAAAACTAACTCGTTCGAGCTTAATGTGAACTTTGTAGGGATTGTCTGCGAAGGTGAGGAGCTCGACCTCGAAGCCGGAACCACTGATTGCTTCGATGATTTGCTCTTCGTTGGTCGAGTTTGGATCGAAATGGACTGTGGCTTCTTCGATTTCGGGAGCGATTACTGTTCTTTTTACGCCGTGGACCGTGGTTAGGGCATTTTGAAGAGATTGGGCGTTGGCTCTGAAGGTCATACTTCTGATTTTTAGGCGACATATTTCAACGTCTTGTAGAAACTCGTCGGCGGGGAAACCTCCGGCGTCTATGATTTCCACTGCTCTGTTTTCCTGTGATATTCCGGCGAGTTGCTTCAGCTTCAGAACCCCCAGAGAAAGGGAGAGAAATACAGGTGTCGGTTGGTAAGGGAAACACAAAATGTAATAATTCTAGAAAGAAATATTGTTTTTAGTTTTTTACGTAAACATAAATAATTTCCGGTCTCCCTACTTTCATAATTCGTATCGGGGTGTAGTTCATATATAAATATTTTTTCTAATTATAAAATTTTAAATCAAATTTTATATACAATAGAAATATTTTAACGTTGAAGCTGCATTTAAAGAAATTTAGCAATATGCTAAAATTTTTATTGAAATAAATGAGATAAAAATGAAAATAATTAACTAAATTGATCACTTTTCTATAGTACATTGACTAAAAGGAAAAAAATGTTAAAAGTATATAGACAAAATGAATGCTTTGAAGGTAAAGTGACCAAAATGAACTAAAATCGAAAGTACGAGAACTAAAAGAGTATTTCAGCTTAATTCTAACAAGTCTTCACGATTAAGACATTACTTAAATATTAACATAACACCCTCGTTAGACTAATAAGTGATGGTTTAACTAAACGTAACAGTAGTTAATCTAAGCACAACTCAGCTAGTTAAAAAATTTTACATCTCTTGAAAATTTGATGTTCGAATCCTCGCCCTACATTGTTATCGTTGAGCTTAATTGAGGGAGTAGCCAGCTAAATAAAATCACTGACCATTGGCCTAAAAAAACGTTCAAAATCTATTCAACCTACTTTCTCTGTAATTGTGCTTGTTTTATATAGATAACATATTTTTCTAATGTGACATGTTGCAAAATAAATCTAAAATAACTAACAAAAATTCATTTTTCTATCATGTACATAGAAAATTGAGTCCATAAATATATAATATGAAGCAAATAAAATTGGATAAATTAATTAAGATGGACGACTTACATTATTGAGGGTCGTTGGATTTAGAGGTATCTTGAGATCATCAAGTTTAGTTTCCATCTTAACCTACCCTGCCACGCAAGTTAAAATTTATCAATTTATAGTACATTTAAAAAAACATATATATATAATGAGAATGACGAACTATTCAATTTAGACGCACCTGTTTAATGTAGACGCACATGCAATGAATTGGCTCACGAACTTGTAAATTTGATTGTGGATGATGAATCTCAAAGAATTTTGTTACAAGAGTTACCCGATGGAGTTCCTGCTGTGATTCCTAAGAAACTTCGTCGACGTCGACATGTTGATGCGTATTCCTTTTTATACATAGGCATGTTTCTTAGATTTTGGTTAAAAGAATTAAAAAAAAAACTATTTAATCTTTTAATTACTTCATTAAGAATATGAACTATGAACTACAAACAAGATCTTTTACTCTGAATTATATGGGTTGCTGTTGCTGCATTGCATTTTGCAATAAGTGTTCTTTAATGAATTAATTTTTTAATAAAAAATAGAACATGACATCAATATTATATATGGATTGATCACCTATTTAGAAAATAAAATAATATATAAAAAATCAAAGTTTAGATAAAGGTCTAAGACTAGAGGTATTTTGGGTAGAAAATGTATTATGTTCCGGTCGGCTATTTTACACATTAACTTTGAAAAAGAAGAAAATATTAGACAAATTGAATAAGTTCATTAAGTATTCATCGGTACAATAATATTTACATTGTTTTCAAAGGGAAAATTCTTCACCTATAAGTTGAAGTGTTTGGATAAAATATCTATTAAGTATTGCCATCCCAAAGTTCGATAGTTCGATTCTCCGTTCTGCAATCGTTCAATTAAAAAAAACTTGGTATTCTCATATATATTGTTCCAAGCCTAAGAACAAAAATTCTTAACACCAAGAGAATGACCTTGTCCTAAAGAGGCAAAAATCAAGTTTTTGAGGTTTATAATCCAATAAGACTCGTCTTAAAGCACCTATAATTTTTTGTCTTGCCTGCCTTTGTTTAATCTATTTAACCTACTCTCTTGTATCGCTCATTTTAATATCGTGTCAACTCGTTATTATAATACTTATTTTCAACTTCCAACCCCAATAAAATTATGTTCACTTCTCCCACAATCATCTCCTCACATAAAGAACCATGAAAATTATCTCAAATAGCCATTTGCTCCTTTACTCTTTACCAAATCAAACATCTATTCTGATCTAGGTCAATTGTTCTTTAGAGGTAAATCGTAGCTTATCTAAATAACCTAACCACGAGTTAGGATACCCAGTGTCAATCAATTGTTATCAGAACTTCAACGATTTTTACTTGCACAACAATCTTTCTAATACATTCGTCTATTTGATTAATTAACTACATCTTCATCTACTACCAAACCACATTGGCCAAGATAATCAAAGCTCGCCACTTTTTATTCAACATTCGAGAACTACATTCATCCAAAATTCCACTAACGACGTTACTACGCGTCACTCGACGAATATTTCATCCACACAATTAAGTTCGAAATATGGCTCTAACACCACTTATTTAGACTAACCACTCTAATAAAGATAATTTTACTTATTAGACATTAGACGTCTCATTTATATATCCATAATCTTTCGAGCATATAATCAAAGAAATAAGGAGCCGGAATAGAGAACGCACGTAAAGAAAGCAAAGCACTGAAAAGTAAACAATATGAGAATGATGTTGCCAGAGTAATTAATGTGCAGAGTACGGTTACCCGATGGGTCGTCCAGATGTCCGTGACAGACCAATTTGTGGAAGAGACGGTGAGGGTGGCGGTGGCGGTGACGGTCGGAGGGGACCGTACGCCGGCGAAGGGGAGAGGAGAGAGGGATGGGTTCCGGTTGGTTTCCGATTGTGGAGCGAAAGAACGAGTCAGAGAATTATGAGAAGAAGAAGGACGATAAAAGATCTGTTCATCGTTTTTTGGCTGAAAATTAGTAAATGGATTCACGGGGCTAAACACAAATTTCAAATACTTCGAGGGCTTCCGATTGTAATTTTCTTTTTATTAAAATTTGTTCAAAAAAAAATATATATATACACACACATATATATATACACAATTCTTTGAGTGCTTATTGGTCGGTGTTCATGTTCTTTTTAAGTGGATCATAATCTAAAATTTTGACAGTCCTTTATTTTAAAAAGAATATTAAAATGAGAAAAAGAATTTCTACAATTTTTTTTCCTTATTTGCTAAAAGTTTAATCGTACTTAGCATGATAAGTGTCTCTTGAGTCGTGCACAGCAAAAGGATAGTATTATTATATATTTATATTTTGAAAGAAGAAACACGAAAAAAGTGTTAATAAGGATGTTATTCTTTTCTTTGTTAGAGTAAAAATGATAATAAAATAATATTTTTTTTAGTCATTGTTGGCATAAAATGATATTTTTATTTATGATTTTTAAAATTTTAAAAGTATAAAATGCAAGACGGAGAATTGAATCATGGATCTTAAAGATGATAATAAGTGTTTTATATATTAAGTCTAGTTCGAAATAACCCCGATTGAATATTTGATATAGGTTGAAGAGAGCAACACATTAAGAATAGTGGATATGAACAAAATCATAGTAAATTGGAATTATAAATTTTTGGGTTTATGAGCACTAATTCACAAACACTAAAACTCTCAAATCATTTAAAACCTAAGGTTTAAATTAAGCGTAGAATTAATAGGTTCCAGGTTCTTTGGTACAAGAGATGGAAGAAAGACACTCTTCACTTGAAAGGAAAAATAATGACTAAAATTCATTCATCAAAACTGATTTTTTTATCCATGAATAAAAGATCAAAGGGTCATATTTTAGATAGCCTCCTGACTAACCATAAATGCTGCATTATAAATGATAGCAAAAATACAAATACCCCTACTTAATAAGCTTAAAAGTAAAAATTAGAAAGTGATAAAATTACATAAAAAATATTAAATAAAATATAGATAAGTTGTACTTGATTCATACGAAGGAGCTTGTGTTTTGTTTTGTTTTGTCACTTCTTAAGCTCATCGAGTGAAAAGTCATATGTTCGACACTCTTCAAGTAGCTAAATTTACCATTTTTTTTATAATTGACTTATAATTAAGAATAACAACATAAATGAGAGGGATTTGAACTAATCTAAACATACCTTAATTAGTTAAGACATATATACCAACTAAAAAGTCGTGAGTTCGAATCTTCATTCTCCTATTGTTGTTTTCGTGAGGAACTTTGACCTTCATCAGTCCTTTCCTAAAACTAAAGAGCTCCAAAATTTCTCCCAAATAGTCACCATATTGATAGTTTGCTCTTATTTAGGTCTAACTCATTTTCATTTTTCTTAAGAACTTCGTCCATATGATAAATATTGTACATGACTTCTCTTTTCAAGCTCACTATCTTTTTTTTATATTTAAAATTTCATCAACACACTTAACTTCAAAGCATAACCCTACCAACACTTATTAAAATAAAATAAAATTACAAGATTTAGGGTAATTTATCTCGGATCAATAGCACATAAATTTGTTGTCAATTTGTAGATCAAGGGTTCAAGGAGTTTAGCGGAAAATAAATAAAAGAAAAGAAAGATGAATATTTAATTTTGTCAATATATCCATATTTTTATATATTTATGGGTTCGACATCGACATAAAAGATAAACCGACATTTCTATAATATCGTCATAATAGTCAAAATATAAAAGTATATGGTAAAATATTAATATCAATAATTTTTAACTAAAAAAAAGTCATGAAATATTTTTTTTTCAGATACCAGTAGAGACGAGGATGAAACTCACAACCTCCTAATTTGACATATATGTCAATTACCATTAAACTCTACGTTTGCTTTGGCAAAAGCCATGAAATATTTGATTATTTAGTTTAAATAAAATCGTAAAATATTTATTTGTTAATTTAAAAAATGTGTTATAAATTTGGTTTACTTTTATAGCTTTTTTCATGATATTTATATCAAAGTTTCTTTGTATGGCATACACCTCAAATTTTATTTTATTTTATTTTTGTTCGATGGAAAAAGAAAGAGATAAAATCTGTTGATGGACGAGGCCCGTATAACGGCTGCGTCTATTAGCAATCGAAACCGAAACGTTAGAAAAAGAAGATGAAAATCGGCGGTGGAGTGGTATGTGGAAGTCCACGCGCCGCCACTCTGCCCTCTCTGCTTCTCCGTCGCACTGGATTCACCATTCGCAGCTCTTCATCTTCCTCTACTTCCGGTAAGTTCACCGCACGATCATTTATCGCACATTTCCTTGAAGAATTTCAGAATCTTAATGCTTCTTTGGACCATCGCCATGTTTCAGACCATGTATCGTTCATCAACGATATTGCGGCAACTCAGCCTCCTCAGCATTTGTGTCAATTGCTAAAAATGCTGAAGACAAGAGGTGCGTCTTTGGTCAAGCGCTCAATCCATTCCCATTATTGCATTTAGTACGAATTAATCGCTAATACTTTTAGAGATTTCCTGATTGAATCCACATTTTTTGACTAGATACTGAGTTTTTCGTCCTTTCGAGTTGTAGTCTATAAATGTTACGAGCAAGAGTGTGAAGCTGAATACTATGACTAGAAATGAAACTATATTGCCCTGGTGAATAGATTTATAGATTTCGTTTCTATTGAAAATCCGTTGACCTGATGGCTTATATCGAAACGTTCTTATACGATTAATAATCTGGATTTTTTTGCCTCAATTTTCAGCATATCGTTACGTATGCGTTTCTGCAGTATGTTGGTTCT